AGAAAATGAATTAAGTAATATATTAGGAAAACATTTATCTGCTAATTAGAAAGTCAAAGAAAAATCGTTAATTCAACTAACTATTTCACTCTTTTTTTTACATGGCGGAGGGATTAAACTACTAAAATAATAATAAAAAACTATCACTAATTCCTAAAAAAAGATTTTAAGTTATAATTTGCTTTTATTCAGCACAAGTTTAAAGAACTTTTTGACAGCGTCCGCAAAGGCTATTTTCACAATTGCGATAATTTCAGCACCTGAGACATTTTTCTTTAGCAGTTTTTTTCACTACTATCGAGCAAAAATCACTTTCCCAAACGTTATTCTTATTTTCCTGGGCGGGCGGAAATTCTACTTTGGCTACTAGTAATAGTTCGGGCAAGTTTAATTCGGAATAATCGCTGGCTTGTTCCTCTTTGAGATAAATTGTTAACTGGGCTTGAGAGTTAGTAGCGATAATTTTCTCTTGGCGGGCTTGTTCTAGGGCTTGATAAACCGCCTGGCGTAAAGGAAGCAAAAAGTTAGTAATTAGTGCTATTTTCTTTTCCCTATCTGGTAGACAAGGTAATTTCAGAGAAAAAGTGGTTAGAAAAACACTTTCGGACTCGGTCAAGCCAAAGCGGCAAGGAATATTTTGATAAACTTCCTCCGCTAGGTAAGGTAAAATCGGGGCAATAACTTTTAATAAACCTGCTAATAAATAATAAAGAGTAGTAATAATTTGCTTGCGGCGTAGTGCCGATAAACTATCACAATATAAACTATCTTTGCTAATTTCCAAATAAAAAGAACTTAAATCGTTAATACAAAAATTTAATAGCGAGGAATAAACCGGATTAAAACTATATTCCTGAAAATTTTTTTCACTTTCTTCGACCAATTTTTCTAATCGGTGAAGTAGATAGTAGTCAACCAAGTTTAATTCGTGGACCAAATCTTTTTCACTTTTTATTTCCGGTGGCAAATTGGCTAAATTACCGAGCAGAAAGCGTAAAGTATTACGAATTTTGTGATAACTTTCCTGAATCTTGGTTAAAATGGGGATACTAACTTTTACTTCTTTGGTAAAATCGGAACTAACTACCCAGCAACGCAATATATCGGCCCCATACTGGCTAATAACTTCCTCCGGGTCAATAACATTACCTAACGATTTCGACATTTTATAGCCTTTTTCATCAACCACGAAACCATGGGAAAGCACTTGTTGATAGGGTGCTTTGCCAGTGAGTATAACCGAAGTAATTAGCGAGGAGTTAAACCAACCACGAAACTGGTCTTGGCCTTCGACATAAAGAGTGGTCGGTCAGGTATTTTTTTCTTCGTCTTGTTTCATTCTTAATTTCACTATTTTAGTCTTTTCTTACCACCCGTTTTCAACTTGATAATTAAACTGCTAATGGTTAATAAACTTACTACTAATAAACTACCAAAGATTATTCTTTCCTGGGTTTGCTTCTTAATTAATTGACTTTTTTCTTGCTGATAATTTTCTTTATTACCTAGGTATTTATTGATTAATTCCTTTTCA